CTGGTCGTCTCGAGAGCCTACTTATAAAAGGCGAAAAAGTAATCTACTCGATTGCTGTAGCAAATACAATTCTGCTTCACAGAGTGTGTAATGGGAAAGTGGCTGGCCTTCTTTTGAAATTCACATCTGACATGTGACCCAATGGCACTCGTAGTAGTCTGGCGTAGTGGCTCATGTGTCGAGACTGTACGCTGCGCCAGCGCAATTCGGTTTCCAGTCCCGCTGGGCTGCTTAAGAGATCAGTTGAGATGAGGTCGCAACTGCAGTCCACTCCAGCCGGGATGGAAATACAGTTTGGGAAACAAGGCTACGCGTGAAATGCAATGGAAACATGAGGCCTACTCAAATCATCGTGGGACATCTAACACTATCAGTCCTCCATTGCCTACAACGAAATCGGATAAATACATATAATGTGTCGGCGAATTTATGTTTGCACACAGACGCGCAAAAATAATCAAATATAAACGCAAAGAAATGAGGCGAACCAACATTCTCGGCAATTTTTTGCCACGAATGCAGCAACTATGCTATATATTTAATTTAATTATTTTAAACCAACTTACATGCAATTAGTTAGTATATATGTATTATATAAATTGCAGCATAGTTACCGCATTTAGGCGAGAAATGGCCCACAATGAATGATTCATTCCAAGGTCCTGCCGGCAAAGTTGACCTCAGGACGAACTACCTTTAGCCGACCGTATCCCAAAATTAGCTTTACCTCACAGCGGCAATCTGAACTAGACTTGAATTTCCCTTTGGCCAAGCTATTCCTGTAGATAAGATGCCGTGCCAACCAAGCTCCGAACTGCCAGGGTCACAGTTTCACTTCATTTTACCCTCGGCTTATGCCACAGGGCTGGCCCTCTTTCAACCCACCAAGCACAGCTTGTTTGGCAGCTAATATAGGCGCAAAAAAAGAAGATTCATCAGGAAGTGAGCTCAGACGGTGTACCAATGAGGAGACTTATAAAAGAGGCAGCAACAAAGGAAATCCAATTTCCATTAGGATTATAATCAGGTGAAAAGCCTAGCCTGAAAGCTCATAAGAAAAACCAAGTCGTGGCTTGAGATAGATGAGGTCCGGCCTTCTTGCAAAACAAATGAAGCTGATAAGATAAAGAGCCCAACCAAGCTAGAATTTCTAAGAGCCATTACACCCAATGGGTCGGAGAACCACAAGAGCTTCAATCTCATAATGAGTCGCAGACACAGGCAATCGA